TCCAGCCCTGACCTCTCAGCCTTTCTCCAGCCCCTTATCTCAGCTGTTTATCGAGCACCTTAACTTTTATTTACCAGGACCTCAAAAATTCAGATTGTCTAAAATTAATCTCATCATTTTTTCAGATTTCTTTGTCAACTTCTTTATAACATAACTCTAATACATGTTTTCAGAACCTAAATCTTTAAGCTTTTAAATTAAAGGAGCTTAAATCTGGAAGCCTCGGCTTTTTTTTTTTTTTTTTTTTTTGGAATCTAATGTGTGCTATGGACCCATACCCAAGAAAAAAATACATATATGCACACAGAGTTGTGCATATCCATTAGTTGTATTTCTTGTAGCATATCCAAAGATCCCAGACCAACAACCCCTTAAAAGATAGTAACATCCATTTCTCTTTTTTGTTGAGACAGAGTCTCACTCTGTCACCCAGACTGGACTGCAGTGGTGCCATCTTGGCTCATTGCAACCTCCGCTTCCCAGATTCAAGCCATTCTCCTGCCTCAGTCTCCCGAGTAGCTAGGATTACAGGTACGTGCCACCACACTCAGCTAATTTTTGCAATTTTAGTAGAGACAGGGTTTCACTATGTTGGTCAGACTGGTCTCGAACTCCTGACCTCGTGATCTCCCTGCCTTGGCCTCCCAAAGTGCTGGGATTACAGGCATAAGCCACTGCACCCATATTTCTGTCCTCCTTCATGTCATCAAACTCTTCTAATTCTTTTTATTCAAAATATTTTTAACAGTTTCCTCTTTTGTTTCCATTTCCACTGCCTTTGTCCAGCTCAGTGTAAGTCAAATAGCTTAATATCTAGAGACCTGGAAGAGTCTTCTAATTGGCTAACTCTAGCAATGGGAGATCTTCATAAACTTTTGTCTTCACTTGATTGAGATCTATGATATTGAAAGACAACATAATTGAGAATTCTTATTTATAGTTGGTATAATGTATAAAATGTGTTATTTAATGGAAAACAGCTTGGTCCTATCACACTTGGATAAAAATTCACCAGTAAAATCATCTGGGCCTGAATATTTTTGTACGTGTGTGGGGGGGGATGGTGGTGGTGGTGATGTTTATGATAATCAATGCATGATTTAATAAACATTTTAATTCACATTTTCTGAATAACAGTTTTGGTAAGCTTTAGTTTTCGATAAATGTGTCCACTTTAAGTTGTTAAATTTATTAGCACACATTGGTTAATGTATTCTCTCATTATCTTTAATGTCTAGAATATACAGTTATAACACATTTTTTAGTCCTGTTATTGGTAAACTTTATTTTCTATTCTTATAATCAGTCACTTTGGGAGGCTGAGGTGGGTGGACTATTTGAGGTCAGGAGTTAGAGATCAACCTCACCAACTTGGCAAAACCCTATCTCTACTAAAAATACAAACATTAGCCTGGCACGGTGGCACACACTTGTAATGGGCTACTCTGGAGGCAAAGGCAGGAGAATCGCATGAACTCAGGAGATGGAGGTTGTAGTGAGCAGAGATAGTGCCTGGTCGACAGAGTGAGACTCTGTCTCAAAATAAATAAATAATTTAATTCAATCAGTCTAATTAGGAGTTTGTCAGTTGTGTTGATCTTTGAAAATAATCAGCTTTTTGCATTGTTCTTTTTTCTACTATTTGTCTGGTTTCTATTATAAAGATTTCTGCTTTAATCTTTATTCTTTCTTGTTTTTATTTACTATAAGCATACTTCTTTTCTATCTTCTTATGGTAGAATCTTAGATCATTGATTTTAAACTTTTCTCTTTTTCTAATATAAACATTTAAAACTCTAAGTTTCCCTCTAATCACTGCTTTAGCTCTATCTCAGAAGTTGTAACATAGGTTATGGGAAATTGTGATATGAAATAGTTATAATACATCATATATTTTTTATTACACAGTTTTTAAGGTTTTAATTACTCTGGTGATTTCTTTTTGACTTGTGAATTATCTAGAAATATGTTGCCAAACATTTTTTCATTAATAGCATATTCCTTTTGAGTTATAACTAATTCCAAGTAATCAGAAAACACACTGTATATGAGATCAATTATTTCAAATTTATTTAAACTTGTTCTGTGACTAGTATATGTTGGTGAATGTACCATGCACACTTGAAAAGAATGTTTATTCTTCAATTGTTGAATATAGAGCTAAACAAATATTAATTATATCAAGATGTTTGATATTATTGCTCAAATCCTTTATGTCACTAATATTTTTTAAATCTAGTTCTATCGGATGTTGAGAGAGGAGTGTTAAAATGTACCTACTGTGATTTTGAAATTGTCTATTTATTCCTTTAATTCTGTTCATTATTGCTTCGTGTATTTTGAGGTTCTGTTCTTAAATGCATATCCATTCATAATTGCTGTGTCTCCTGATGAAGCCTCCCTCTTATAATTACAGAATTTCTATTCTTTATCTCTGACAATACTCTGTGATTTGACGTCTATTTTATGTGACATTAAGATAGTTATTCCAGCTTTCTTGTGCTTGCTGTCTGTATGGTATATCTTCTTTCCATCTACTTACTTTCAATGAATCTGACACTTTATGTATAAAGCATATCTCTTGAAGATAACATATAATTGAATATCGCTTTCATAAATTCTTTCTGAAAAACTGTTTTATTTGAGCATTTCAACTATTAAAATACAATGTAATTATGGATGTGGTTGGCTTTGGATCTTCCATTATATTACTTGATTTTTGTTTGTCCCTATAGTTTTTGTTCCTATATTCCCCCTTTCTTGTCTTCTTCGGATTAATTGGATACTTTTAGCATTTTGTTTCAATTTATGGGGGTTTTATTTTAGTTATATTCTTTGGGTTTTTATTATTAGTTACAATATAATCATTAACTGTGACAGTCTACCTATGGTTCATATTATACCACTGCACGTGAAGTATGGGTCATAGGAAGTCCTTTATATTAGCACTGTAATCTGTATTACATCTATGTGCCTTAAGAGCACTGCAAGACAATGTTACAATTTTTCTTTATAAAGTTGTATATGTAGTTGTATATGTTTAAGAAGAAAAATATCTTTAATATTTATTAATAGAGTTACCATTGCTGAAATTCTTTATTCATTCCTGAGTATCTGTGTTCTCTTATAGTATCATTTCCCTTGAGCCTGAAGAATTTACTTAAGCATTTATTGCAAGAAATTATATAATTTTTTTTCTTTACCTGAAAATATCTTTATTTCACCTTCGTTCCTAGAGGACATTTTCTATTCTGGGTTGTCAGATTTGGGGGGTGGGGTGTTTATTTGTTTCTTTTTTATTGTCTAGCTTTCATTGTTTCTGAAGAGACATCTGTGGCTATTTAAATCAACACTTTTCTTTATACAATGTGTTATTTCTCCCCCACCTGCTTTTAAGATTTTTCTCTTTATCTTTGGCTCTCAGCCATTGGATTATTATGTATCCAAGTGTGTTTTTCTGTGAACATATTTGGTGTAGGGTTTATTGAGCTTTTTGAATCTGTAAATTTTTTTTTCACCAATTTCAGGAAGATTTTGGCCATTATTTCTTCCTCTGCTCTACTTCTGGGACTCTAATTACCTAATATTAGACTTTTAGATATTGTCACACTAGTCCCTGAGATCTGCTCATTTTTCATCTTTTTTTCTCTCTCTTCTTCAGTCTGATCTATCTTCAAGTTTACTAATTCATTCCTTTGATATTATCTATTCAGTCCATTCAATAATTTTTATTCTAGATATTCTATTGTTAAGTTTTAATATTTCTACTTTGGTTTCTATTTATGTGTTTTATCTTGCTGCTAAGATTTTCTGTTTTTTTGGTCCATTTCTTTTACTTTATTCAACCTAGTTGGAAATAACTATTTTAAAATATTTGTCTGATAATTTCACCATCTGATTCATCTCAAGGTTTACATCTGTTCATTGTCTTTTCCATCTAGAATTGGTCGTATTTTCCTAGTTTTTTGTGTTAGAGTATTTTAGATTGTATTCTGGACATTGTGAGCCTTACGTTATATAGACACCAAGTTCTGTTACTGGAAAACATGGTTTTCATTTTAGCAGATGATTAATCCAAGTGGATTCGGACTTTAAGCTCTCTCTTGTCAATGTATATAGAGAAAATGGAATACCCATGAGGATGAGTATGAATTTTGAGATAGAATGTGTTTGGAGGAGGGGGCAATGGAAGGGAGAACATTGTACATACTGCACTCAGAAGTTAATAATTCAATGTTATTTAATTTTTACTATCACATGTGTATGATACATATAATCTATTTGTGCTATAGATATATAATATTTGGAACATGCATATATTTATTTATAATATATAATTCTGACAATTTTACAATGTTCTAATTTTTCTAAGAAAACCAAAACTCCAGTAGTCATTCTTTGAATTCCCAGAAGAATTCCAGATTCTCATAATACTACCACTTATCAAAATGTCATTACACATGCCAGACATTCTGCTAAGCAATGTAAATAAATTGTTTTATCAAACTTTATAGCAACACCACCAGGTAGGCATTGTTTTCATTTACAAATGAGGAAATGGGGGCTCAGAGAGGTTAAGCAACTTGCTCAGGGATACACAGCTATTAAGGGGGTAGAAATGAGATATGAATCTGGGTGGGACTCTGTCTCCCCTTTTGAGATCACAGGTTGCCACCCAGGTGGAACTAGATGATATTCATCTTGCAAATGACAGAGTGAGGAGAGCGAGAGAGTGGCACTGCAAAAATAAGATTCACTTCAAAGAGGAGACAAGTATTCTAATTCTAGTTTGAGACAGACTTACTGCAAAACCTTGCAACCTTCTCAGCTTTTCTCTTCCTTCTTCCACTGTGTCTACAACAGAAATAAAAATGTACTTTGCAATAATTTTCAGAACTGTTGTAGAAATAAAATGAGATGAGCTATGAACATATAATGAGAATATAAATGATGGTAATGATATTTAGCCCAACTCACAAACTAATGCTTCCTTTTCTAAGTTTTACAGTTAAGACTTCAACAAAGAAGGACCCAGGAACAACTGGCTAACCAAGGCATAATACCACGTGAGTATCTGCATCTCTTAATTACTGATATACATGGGGACACACCATTTGGGAGCTGGAAAGTGCCGCAGAGGCCGTTTAGTCTAAGCCAATACATTGGTCTCCCATTGTCTTCAAAGCATTGGTATCAGCAGAAATCCCAGACCTTGGATGCTTTGCCCTGACTGCTACCTACACACCTGCAAGGGGCTCTTTTTAATGATACTGGTTATGCCTAAAATTCCAGTGTAGTGGATTTGTTCTTAGGGTAAACACAATTCATTATGGGCACCCCCAACTCATCTACTTTTAAAATTGGATATAATTAATATTCTTTCCAGAAGCATCAATCACATCATCTTTTTCTCACCTCCTCAGTTTCAGTTCTGTTTGGGGTATTTGAGTCCACAAGTAATTGAATATTGTCAAGTATTTCCTCTCTAGAAGGTGGAGTGGCAATACCATTTTAGCATAAATGATATAATGTTGAATTACTGGCCACCATCTGGATAAAAGAAGAATGATTATTATATCTTTTAGAGGATTATATTTTAAATTTTCTACCAATCCAGCAAAGAAAGCTAACTCTTGGTTATCTGTGGGAATGGAGGAAAGGGTACCCTGGATGAATAAGTCATGGGTGAAGCTGCTCTGAATCATACATTCTAACTTCCTCTCCAACAAAATTTAAAAATCAAGATCTATAGTGACTTGTGTAGACATTCAGCTGTCTGTAAAATGCTATTGTGACTGCCACTTCAGAGTTCAGTGTACAACAAGTGAAAGTTTGCCGTTGAAAAATTGTTGCACAGTTAGTTATACTGAAACCCTATGATCCATGGCTAAACATTAAAAGTTTAATCTTTGTTTCAGAGCCAGAACAGAACTAAGACGTTTTCGGGCCTTTTGTTTTGTAATTCAAAAGTAGTCCTTTGTTCATGGCTAAGCTCTACAAGTAGTAAACAGTAGGTGACCTTAAAGTGGGACAACTCTTTTAGAGGTTCGTGAAGTACAAACGAAACAGCTCACCCTGTGATTTCAAGGCTTTTTAAGCAATGTTTACAACTATGCTGAGGAACCAAAGGAACAAGGAGCAAGTCTATGTGTGGCCTGTTTCATCTTAGCCTCTCCTTGGAGGTGCTAAAGACAGGGAGAAACCAAAAGCCTGCAAATGTCAGGTCAGGTCCAGACAATTTCACTCAAAGCTGATAATCTGTCCCTTCCCTGATGTTTTTTTCTCTTTAATTCTGGAAAGGCAAATGGAGCAGATGGACCCACGATCTTTCCGTAAGCCCAAGTTGTACACATCTGATTTACAGTTTGACTCATGCGCTTAAATACTCTGGGCCTAGGTCTTGCAACTGGCAATTGGCTGAGAACAAACATTTTTTGAGGAATACAGGGTTAAATCTGAAAATTAGTTAAAAACACCCAACAAAGATGGTAATTAGCCCTATCCTACATTTTAACACCTATCGTGTAAGTTATACAAATCAAATGTTCATTTGTGTAATAGAGTCCAATGAAGATACAATATTCTGTTCTCTAGGAATTCTAGAATCAAGTAATATGCATATTAACAAAATAATGCTTAACAGACATTTTGCATCTTTAGTTCATTGCATCATTAAGATAATTTCTAGAAAAATCTACAAATCATGAAATAATGAAGCATTTAAAAAAGTACACACTATGATAAAGGTTTTCCCCAATCTGCAACTACCTCCTCTCAACCAGGCTTTCCAAGAGCATAGATTCTGCTGGGGAAAAGTGTCCAAGTCAGGCAGGTACACACTGCAGGCCCTGCCTGTACAGACCTTTTCTCATAGCTCTTCTCAGGAAGCTAGAGATAAGATGCATCTCTTCACCTGCCGATTGTCAGCTTCTTCAGCCCGAACAGAGATTAAATGTGCATTTCAGCAGAGCAGTATGTTCCCTGTGCCACCTAAGGGAACATGTCTAAATGCAAACGATTGGGAGAAGGAAAAAAGAACCAAGGGGCTCAGGATCTTTTCAATTCAGTATAATTCAACAAATGTTATTATAACCCAGACTATGTACAGGGGACTGTGCCAGGCACTTTAGGGAAGACAATAATAAGCAAGATGGTCCCTCAGAAAAAGTCAAGATATTTGGGGGAAAACTGATAAAAAGCACACCGAAGCATAATTCAGTGTGCAACTCATTACCTTTCACAAGAAGACTTTATTTCTTCACTCCATTATTTAAATTTTTTTGAAACAGAAAGTAAAAGAAAAGGAGGAAGAATGGAAGCAAGGAAAGTTAGTAGTCCTCAGAACCTACCTAATTCTGTGATTTTTCTAATTTTTTAATTGTTAAATCTTATACACTATGTATATGTGTGTGTGTGTATATATAGATATAATGCATATGCATATATCTAATGCATAAGATTTAACAATTGCATATATACACACACACATATATATATATATATAGTACATATATACAGAGATAGAAAAAGGTGCCCTGGATTTTACACACACACACAGACACACACACACACATGCACACACACACACATATGCACTGACTGAGGCAGTGTCGAATATCTCTGCCCCATTTACTGGGCCTCTCCTTGTCCCTTCCAGAAGCCCCCTGATAATTCTCTCTACAGTGCTGGTTCTCTTCAGAATAGAGTTTGCAAACCCCTGACATATCCCAATCCCTGTTCATGAAACTGAGGTTGAAGAGACCTAAGAGATTTTTTTCAGATGTCCTAAAGCCTACATCTAATGTGGTCCCATTTTCTACAGTTTTGATTTATAAGAATGCAAATGCATGCCAGATAAAATTATTTGCAAAATCTCGCTTTGTTCATAAAATTAGAAATAGTCGCAATATTTTTAAACATGCCATAAATTGTCAAAACTCAAAGCTGATGGCTAAGTGGACTATACATTGTCCTTATCAAATAGCAATACTATTTTTAACTGGCCAACAGAAACACCTGCCACCAATTAGCATGGAGTTTTACATTAGGTTAAGTCTTCAGGGCTTGTCCACTCAATAACATGCAACCCCCTCCTATTGTGGAGGGCTGAGGCCACAACCTGTGTCTCCTGATCCCTGCCTGGGCTCCTTTTCCCAAACGTTCAAAATGAATCACTTGGCCTTTAAAAACACTTATTTATTTCATATCATAAGGCATTTTATGGCCAAAAAATTTTAGAAAAATTAAAAGTGTATAATGTGTGAAAATGCCAAAGATAAACCATTGATTTAAATGAAATGACATCATAATCTATGCTTTGCCATGATGAGCATTGAATAAAAGATTTCACTGACTTAGCTGTCTGGCAGGTCTCACTTCAATTGCATTCCAAATTGATAATTAAATTATAAGGCTCCTCCCCCACTGACTCTAATGAGTCATGTGTAATTGTAGTAAAACTGATCCAAATGGATTGAAATGTTCTTCCTTTGCTTTCCCTGGGCATGTATCCTGCAGATTTTGAGGTTGCTGCTGAGTAATAAACAGTCTTTAGCAACCAGCAACAAATTCTTTTTTATACTCTCTGTGAATGACTTCTTTTAAACATTTAGTTTGTTCTTATGTGTGTGCATGATCAGTTTAGGATTTCTCTCTTTACATGCTTTGAATGAATTTAAAGGCATCATCTCTTGACTTTTAGTCAAGACAAGCAAGGTTTTGAAGCCAGCAAGTAATCCCTAGCACAAAAGTGGGTCAAGGGTTCTCAGACCAGGTGCATTTACAATAGCAGTTGTGAAATTCACATTTTCGAAATCTTCATGAAACCTTAGTGAAATATCCTCTCAAAGTCAACTCAGAAATATTACTTAAAGAACTTATTGTTTAGATTTATCTCCAAAATTTCACCTCTAAGTCTCAATATGGAGATTTCAAATTGTCTAGATTCATCATCAACCAAGATTCATAGGGAATGGTTTGACTGTCTCTTCCTTTTGGGCTCAAGGTTGCAAGAGGGCATCAAGGTTCTCTGCATTCTCATGGCATGAGGACAGAGTCCACCCCCATCCCTAGACCTATTGGACCTGTTCATCATTTCTTATGCAGATTTTCTCTCCTGCAATTCTTCTTCCTGGGTATCACTCTCCTGGGTAAAATTTTAAATAACATTATTTTATTCCAACCACTTCAGAAGTCTTGCTGTAGAAAGATGACCAGCCGCGTAAATCAGACTCAATAAAATGGTCATAGAGCATTTCAGTAAATATTTATTAATCCTCTGCTGTGAGACAGGCTCTGGGAAACACATACAGAGAAGTCGGACTCAACTTTTGTTTCAAAGTGCTTCCAGACTGGGGGGGGGGCCCAGATCACCCGCATTTAATCATCCCACTGAACAATTCTGGACAATTTCACACCACTACATGAGAATGGGTATCCAGGAAGATTGAAGGAAAGAGCACTTTTTCTCTCCCTCTTCCTCTGCTACTAAAGTGAGTCTATTTGGTGCTGAACCCAGGGTAGAGATGAAAGACTGTTTAATTTATTCACCTGGAATACAGACGATGAAATTAGAGAGCTAAAGTGGATTTGAGAGGACACAGGGCCCAGAGAGGCTGCAGCGTGTCCACAGAGTCTCAGAGAAAGCTGCCGCTGGCCAGCATGGAATGTCTGGGCAGCCTGGTTTCATGATCTGATCAATGTAAATGAATTTAAAGATACAATGAGCTGTCTATGAATGGTGCTGCCTTTATTTTTTTTGCAGACTAATCCAAGCTACAGCAGCCACATACTTACTGCAAAACTTTGGTAAATCCCTGAATTCTGTGGTACTTCTGAATAGCAAGAAGAATGATCGGGGCAATCTCTGCACTCATACCACATGCAGCTTCACAATAGTTTCGAGAAGTTGACTGGACAAAGCCTCTCTTCCTTTTCTCAGTGCATTCATTTGACTTGGCTTTTCCCTACAGCACCCTACCACACACTGTCGGCTGTTTCAGCAGTACACGGCACAAGGGAATTAATCTGTCTGCCTCTTCCCTTCTTTCTAACACCTCGAATTCAGAGAGAGAAAAAGGTGCCCTGGATTTTCACATCAATCCCATTTGGGTCAAAAATCTTACCTTCCTTCTTCCCCCCCCCATCTCTCCTTCAATGTTCCATTTTCCTGCTCCTTAGAAACTAGAAAACCAGTAATTACAGGCACACTTTGAATTTGTCTTTGCACCTTCCTTCCAAGAAATTCCAAAGTGTTCACAGATGTTACATCAAATTCTCCCAGTGTGCTTGTGAGGTCCTGAACATTGGAAAAATGCACTGTTTTCAGACCCTACACACTATCGTTGGGGTAACAGACCCTTAAGACTATCATTGGGGTACTGAACTAGCAATTTATTACCAAGCAAAAAAGAAAATATAATTTCCAAAGCATTATCATTATACATAGCATGTATCCTGTTTGTTAAAAAAAAAAAAGGTTCTCATGACCCAATTTGTCTCTAAAGCAAGACAGAGAGAAGATAACGTGAATAGGCCCCTTTTTATAAGTGGGAAACTGACAGCAAAGGAAAACTCTCAGGCTTACTCAAGGTTATACCAAAAGTAGGTGGCAGAGCAAGAACAGAACTCAAATGGATGGTTCCCAAATGTTTAGTCACCCAGGATTTCTTCAATTCTACCCATCACCGTCATATGTCTTATGTTTGAAATAGTGTTGTCTTCCCTACTCCTCAAAGAATCCCACAAACTTTAATTATTAATCCATGTATCTTTGAAATAATTAATTTTATGTTTTTAAGTTAATTTTCTAATTAACGGTCTATACATTTCCCAGCTGGTGCTTTTTGATGAGAACCACCATAACTAAACCAAGTTGCTATGATTCCAGGCAGCAGCAATGAAAAGACACAGCTTTGTTAGTCTAAGCAGCCTTTCTCTGGACAGACATACTCTTCTCTTCAGCTTTTTGAAATGCTGAAAATCAGCGCTGGTCATTCATTGCTCCCTTTTTGAAGTCATAGGTTCCCAAAGCCCCTAGATCAGGACCACTGGACTTACAAATCCCATCACAGTGGTTCTGAGGCTTTTGCATCAGAATCACCTGGAAGGCTTGTTAAAACACAGATTCCTGGGTCCTGCTGGCAGAGTTTCTGATTCTCTGGGGCTGGGATGGGTCCCAAGATTGGGATTTCTAACACCTTCCCAGTTGATGCTAAGGATGCTGGTCCGGAGGCTGCACTTTGAGAATGCTGCACTAGCTGTGCCCCAAGTCTATGGCTTTTTAATTCTCCCTCTTGGTCCTCTTAGTAGCAATGAACCTGGGATCCCTCCAAGCCTGCAGCTGAATGGTCCCATTAAGAGAAGTCAGGCCCTGCACCAGCCACAGCCCAGCACCAGGTATAGCCCTGCTTCAGCTGCTGGAGTTCCCCAACTCCAGGGACCCTACCCTATGCTGAAGAGTGACGCCCTTTCCCTCACTGAGTTCTCCGTGGCCCCACAGCCCATTTTCACCTTTTTCTGGGATCCTGCTAGAGGCACGAGGTTAGAGTGGAGAGCAGAGGACTGCAGGAGGGCTTTTCTTATCTCGGGATCCTTTTTCTAAGTTCTCAGTAAGCAAATGTTTATGTGCTCAGCTGACCCAAATTAGCCATAGTCATGGGGACAGAAATAGGCATAGCCCACAATGAAACTCTGAGGCAAGAACACAAATTCCCTTGTGAGGAACCATTAATCTCCCTCCGGGGGGGAATGAGTTAGATGTGTGGCTGATTGAATTTACAAGAGTATTTTAATTCAACATCACATGGACTTTTTTTAAGATTTAGAATCCAAATTCCTTTTCAATCTTAAATGTCAAAGTCCCTTAAATACAGAATTTTGCCATTTGATACTCCCCAGGCTGGCAGCAGAAGTGGTATTTTATGCATTTTCCCAAAAGCCAACTGAGAAGTGGGGGGCACCATTGCTTTTGTTGGCCTTCGTGGGAGGTGGTTAAAACCCACAATCTCTGTAGTCACTGAGAAGGCAAACCTCAAACCCAAGGCCATGGCAGGATAGTTTTCCACAGTGTGACCTCAAGCCAGTGCCCCATATAACACCCCTTAACCTCCGAGGAGAAGAGCATGTGGTAAAATGCAGCATGTGGACCTTTTTGGCTGTCTTCCCAAGTCCTTGCTAAATGGAGATCGTTTCTTCCACTCTGTGGCAGAAGGTTCCAGAAGACCTTTGTGCTCCTGGCATCAGAGAACTGGACTGTGTGAATCATCTCACAGGGGAGTTATTAACACCAAGAAGTGATGAACTGTAGTGCTACAAAGCTGAGATACAGGAAATACAGTGTTTCTTAGAACAATTAATAAGCTTTGCTAATAAGAATTAAACAGCCTCAGAGACAGGAGAACCCGATAAAGTCCTCCTAAACCCCAAGCCCAGTTAAAACCAATTGTGTTTGGAATGTGCATGACATCTCAAGATCTATTCATACTATTCCCTTCAGGGAGTTTCTTGAGGAAAGGGCATGTTATTCTTTTCAACCACTTAATGAGGCCACACTAAGATCGATTCCTTTTCTGGGTTATGTAAGTAATTGAACTACACCAATATACCATACTTAGCTAAATGATTACCAGGAGATAGGACAGAGGTAAAGACCTATTGATACAGGTTGTATAGATCCATAGTGGCCCACTGGACTTCAAGCAGACTTTGTATCATGATCTGATTGCTTAGGGGCAAAGGGAGTTGCTGTGGAGAACTCCCTGGACATAAATTTCAACTGCGATCAAATGCAGGAAAAGGCAAGCCTTTTTAAGGGTGATGACCAGAGGCAACTCAAAGAAAATACATGAGCAACACAGGAGAGCTGATCTATTTCTCAGAATCACTGCATAGGGAGAAATGGGAGAAAAGGGTCATCTAGAAAGGGAGATTTTGCAGAGAGGCTCATTTTAAGAGTGAAGAGCAGAAATCAAAGACAAGTGAAAAACAGTTTCTAGATCAGTGGTATTCAAGCAGCATGTTCATTTTTTTTTTCACTATAAGAAGGGAAGCCTCTTAATCTTTGATCCAAGTGAGAAGGATGCCTGTCAACTATATTTGGCACAAGGAAGCCAGATGGGACAATTCTGCATGTTCCTTTGGCAACATTGTTAATGTCAGGGTGAACAGGGAGATTTATAGAGAGTGTGACTTATTAACTCTCCAGGCAGCGTTCTTAAAGAGGTTACTATGGCCAGCTACCATTATGGTCTACATCTATGTCTGCTTGATCTCCAGCAAGCCCTGCTGAAAACTGTGTTCACATTCAGCATGGTCTTAAGGGCTGAATGAGGCACATGCGTGCACACACACGCCCACACGTGCTCTCTCTCTCTCTCTCTCTGATCTGGTCAGAAACCTAATTTTTGTGCTGGCCAAGATTTGGAAGAATACTTTATTACCTGCAGCTTACGGTAGACAAGTGTTACAGTCATTGTAAAACTCTATATCACATGATTCATCAAGTTGTCCAGATGTTTAATTCAGGGGGGAAAATAATCAATGCAGTTCTGTAACTGCCTTTCAACCTCATCACTTATCATGAAAAGTGATTATTTGTGGCTCCTGATTGAGATTGTTCAAGATTAGGAAAATCAAGGCAAAATGTAGAAATTTTGCAAAATGACAGTCGACTTCTTTGCTCAAGCAAAGGAGTTTATTAAACCCCCATAAGAGGTGTGACAAAGTGGTGATGAGGAGGAGGCAGTGGGAAGAGAGTGAAGGCTGGCATTCAGTACAGGTTGTTCATGGCCTCCATGTGTTATGTACAACTAACCAGTGCCTGTGGCTACTGGTGGTTAATATTTTACATGTCACACCTTGAACGAGGTTAGAATTGTCACAGGACCCATGCTCCTAGCCCTAACTGATCCTGGGCAAGTCAATCCATTTCTGTGGACCTCAGTTTCCCCATTCTGTTCAGGATTGGAGTTAACCTCCCTGTCTCCAAGGCTCCTTCCAGCCCTCAAAGTTTGATTCTCTGCTTCTCACTCACACCCTTGGTTGCATGTTCCTGACCTACCAGTCACACACTTTATCCAGAGTACAGCCCCTACCCCCAGTGCACCACCCCACCCCACAGACACAGACCACAGTCATTTCTCGAGCCTTTTGCACTCAAGGGCAGAGCAAAGTCAAAGAGGGTGTAGTTACCCAAGATCACACCTCTCCCTCCAACCAGAACGTTATTTCTGTTTTCAGTTTTCCACTGCCCCCTCTATTTCCTCTGGACCCTGGAATGCCCTGCCTCTATCACTTCTCTTCTTGTTGCACATCCTACCTCTGCTACTCCCTCTGTTTGAGGCTTCGATTCCACTTCCCATCGCCTATGGCTTCAGGGCTGCTGGTGTCCTCCAGGCCTGTCTTCTCTCGTTGCTTGTGGCCTAATAAAGGCACGCACATCCATACTGTGCATAGCTCAGCAAGCACACCGGCAAAGCCTGCGATGCTGACCGAGGCCCTTAACCCAGCCTCCACTCATGTTTTTGTGTTCCTGTTTCAGCACTGAAACGTCCAACGGAATTCCATGAACAAAGAAAAAATTTGGATAGTGACAAGGTAATTTTTGCAAATTTCTTGATCCAAACTTAGACTCTAGGTTATGAATCTCTGAATGCTAACCCTTGGCTGATGCAAGTACAATTTCTACAACAAACTCCATCAATTTGCCAGTCCCCTGCCTTCACATCATATGGAATCTTACTCCTATTAACTGATAACTACAGAAATGAGATCAACTATATTAGCTTCAAAACTGCTATTTTTTAGCTTTTTTTTTTTAATGTCCCCAATCTTTCTAATGTTGGAAGAAATCATGGTATGGATGCCCTAGAATTGGCCAGCACAGGTGGCTCACGCCTGTAATCCCAGCACATGGGGAGGCCAAGGCGGGTGGATCACAAGGTCAGGAGTTTGAGACCAGCCTGACCAGCATGGTGAAACATCATCTCTACTAAAAATACAAAAATTAGCTGGGTGTGGTGGCACGCACCTGTAATCCCAGCTTCTCAGGAGGCTGAGTCAGGAGAATTGCTTGAACCCAGGAGGTGGAGGCTGCAGTGAGCAGAGATTGTGCCACTACACTCCAGCCTGGGTGGCAGAGTGAGACTCCAGCTCAAAAGAAAAAAAAGATTAACTATAATCAAAAAGACTTTAGAGAGGGAAGTAAAGTTGGCTTTCATGCTGCCTCACCTTTCATTACTATCATTTCTTAACAAAAATCAGATTTTTAAATATCCAATTCAATGGTAAGTCATGGTTTATGAACACAGAACTTATTTGTAGCTACTTAAAGGCAAGAGAAATTATGCTTATTTCCCTTTTTTTGTAACATTTGAGGGGGACATTTGGCATATATTCTGTACTTTCATAACAAATCTCTGCAACTTGAATTTGTCAATAATATATTCATAAATACTATTTAGCAAGTATTTGAGTGAGAAGGAAAGGCAAAGAGAGCATCTGCCCACTGGTGTTTCCTTTCCTGAGAGTACTAGTCTTGCAACTTGTCTGTGGGTAGAGAGGAAAAGGAGGGCTCTGTAACTCCTCAATGTAGCTCACAAGTGGCTGTGATTCCTACTACCTCGAGAAGAACAAAGAACAGCAGACTCTTTTATCAGAATCGAAGTGATTCCCAGACCCCTCTCAGGGGGCCGCTGGGAGATCCACTATAGTGAGATAAGATGCCAGAACTAGACATCAGAAACCTGGGGTCCACCTCCCACAGCCCACAACAGTCAAGAAGATAATGAGACTGGGTAAATAACCTGCCTCACCATGCCCTTCTGATGCGTGGTGGGTCTGCATCTGCAAGCTTTACATTTTTACGTGTCCTAAAAGAGAAGTCAGGCAAGTAACGGGAAAGAGGCATACATCGTCATATTGTATTAGACGGATTTAGGCAACGTTTTAGCTCTGATCTTGGTTAATTTTGTGACTATTTTCAGAGGAAATGGAGGCTGGGTGCTGTGGCTCATGCCTGTAATCCCAGTGTTCTGGGAGGCTGAGGCGGGCTGATTGGTTGGCTCCAGGAGTTGAAGACGTCTAGGAAACATGGTGAAACCCTGTCTACTAAAAATAAAAATTTTTTTTAAAAAAATTAGCTGGGTTTGGTGGTGCATGCCTGTAGTCCCAGCTACTCGTGGGACTAAAGCAAGAGGATCACTTGTGCCCAGGAGGTTGAGGCTGCAGTGAGGTATGATTGTGCCACAGCCTGGATGACAGAGACTCTGTCTCAAAAGAAAAAACAGAAAACAAAAAAAAAGGCAATGAAATAGGATCAATTATAATACAAGCACTCTAGTATCCTAAGGGTTATAGGAGCATTTTATTAACATGTCCCAACCTGCCTATCCCTGAAAGAGCTTTAGGGTCGTAGCCCTGCCACGGACCCAGGCTCTTTACCTTCTTAACTTATTTTCCCATCTGAAAATGACTTGAGGGGTCTTTGTAAATATGCCTTCATCAAACTGTGGGACGCCAAGAATATTTGCATGTTTCATTTATCATTTTAAAAAGTTATTTTCTCCTTTGAGATAAATCGAGCGTTTTTAAAAAGGTAAAACTAGGTGATTCTCTTTGTTTGGGTTCTACAGGCTAAACATTCCCTGAAGCGGAAAGCCAGAAACAGGTGCAACAGTGCTGACTTGGTTAATATGCACATACTCCAAGGTAAGGCTGCAAGAAATCATAAACCAAGAGATGCTGTAAAACGCTGGGGCATTTTCCCTGCGTTACCTGTCTCTGTACAGTTACTAAGCCCTCTTAAAAATCTCCCTTGCCATTACAAAGTGGAAGTTTCAAGTAATCATCTAAGTCTTCTAGGCCATGTAGATAATCAAGTTGGGAAGCCATAAAATGGTTAAGCAGGTTACAGATTCAGACTCTAATCTCAGCTGTGCCATCTCCTACCTGTAAGGTCTGGGAAAATCACATATCTTCTAAGAGTGCATGGAACACATTCGACATGTGCAGACAATTATTATTAATCTGGACTATCACTCACTTTAGAAGGGGATCATGGTTCCCTTGTTGCCTCTGTATCCTCCAGGTAATTGATTGTGCTTTGCTAATGCTTTTACCTTCGGGTATGCAGGGAATGACAATCTGAGAAAATTAGTGCTGATCAAAGCAGGTCTAGTTCTGCCTTACAATACCACCTCTGTGCCAGGGTGTGTGAGACAAAGCAGACACCTAACTGGTTCCCATATTCTGACATCTGGATGCAGGAGAAGAGGCTCCTACTCCTGCCTCGTGAGTTGCCTTCCCTGGGACAGAATCCCCCAGACCACTGGTGTGCACCCTAAAAGAGGTCCAACCAACTCCTAATTTGACAGTTACCTATGGGATATTTATTCCTTGAACACACACTGTATTGGGTGTCTGCTAGGAGTTGGCTCTTCTGCCAGGCCAGTGGATTCAATGATAAATAAGACACAGGTTTTTGCCCTCAAAGGGTCTCACAGTATAACAGAGGACATGAGAATCACATTTACAATTGTTATACATAAAATGTTGATGCCGCAAAAGAAATAGCACCCGAATATAAATTCTCTCAGCAAGGCAATTTACTTCTATAGAAGGGTGCATCTCATGGATGGAGCAATGGTGAATGCACACCTGAACAGGGGAGGGGAAGAGGTTCTTATCCCTGATGCAGCCCCTACTGCTACTGCTGTTGTTTCCCTGTTGGCTAGGGTTAGATTGCACAGTCTAAGCTAATTCCTACTGGTTATTTTAAAGAGAGCAGGGGTATGAGCCAGAGTGGCGGTGTGAGTGGTTTAGCAGGAAAAACAGTTATGGAACAGGTAACTAAAGGTGACTCAGGTCAGAGCAGGTGACAGGGGTGACTCAGGTCAAAGCAAGTGACTGGGATGAGTCAAGACTGAGCAGGTGACTGCAACAGGTGACCTGGATGAGTCAGGACAGAGCAGGGAATCAAGGGAATATATGTGAACTACTGATTAGAACTGATGGAAGAGGTTGTTTACTGAAACTACAAGGAATTTAAACTTTAAAATGGAGGTCGAAAAAATTGAACAAAGTGACATACTTATTCTTTGAAGAGAAATTTAGAACTCATTGTATCCAACGCAATCCAGCATGAAAAGAGAGGAAATGCATGGTGTTGTGGGTGCATGGAAGAGATCAGAGAAAACAGCCATCTGAATCAGAATGGATTGGGGAAGAGCGAGGATATGGACTGGAATTTGAGGGCTGAGCCAGGTAGAAAAAGATGGAAGGGTGTCACAGTCTGAAGGAACAGACTTCACAAGGCAGGGATCATGGCCACCTCCAGGTGGATGACTCATTTGCATAATAAAAACTAGGGTGGGAGGACCCGTCTTTTCTCGGGCTATGTAAGTGGAACAGCTGGTCAACCAATCCCCTGGGCCCTATGTAAATCAATCACTGCCTCCTCAAACCTCGGTACAAACCGGAGACTCTTCTTGGGCTACCCGCTTTCTCAGCATGAGGAAGCTTTTTCTCTCTTCTTTTTCTACTAAACTTTCCATTCCTAAAGCCACTCCTCGTGTGTCTCTGTGTCCTGAATTCTTTCTTGACCATGACAGAACCAGGGCATATACCCCAGACAGCAGAGCCATTTCAATACCATAGAGCTATTCCAAACAAGGCTTTCAAAGAGTGATTTCATGAGAAAAGATCTACAAGACAATGTTTCGTGAAAAGAGCAAAAAACAATATTTGCTGCCAAATTCTGGGAAGAAAAATTATATACTTAAACTATATTCATAGTCAGATTCTGGGAAGAAAAACAAACCTACAAATCAATGTAAATAACTAAGGAAGACACACAAGTCTTAAAAAATAGGTGACACTAAGTGGGGATTTTCCTGAAGCCTTCATTTTTTTTTGCACACCTTTTTAGCATTTTTCACATTTATGACAATGAGGGCACAGTAATGCTATAATCAAAAACATATGAAATGTTATTTCCTCCATCATTATGGTCTTGAATTAAAATATCAGGGTGTGAACTGCACCAACCCCCATTCAATTGCATGTCTCTGGTGCCTCTCATGGGATCCCCTTTTGTCAATAGAAATTGGGAATTCGCTTCTTAGAACATAAAAGATCTGCTAGATACAAAATGACTCCTGCTGCCCAGGAGTTTATTGTCCAATTTCAGAAGCAGCAAGATGAAGGGTTAGTGCTTCTAACTCCTAGAGGTAGTGAAAGCAAGAAGGATCTGTAAAAACAGAAAGAGTTAGGAAAGCTTTATGCTGGGACCCAAAAGTAAGATGTCGGTCGTGGGGAGTGGGGAAGAAGTTTAAGGTGGGGAAAGGAAATAAGCCAAGGTGCAAAGGTGAATTCAGCAAGACATGGAAGACAGGATAAGGACCAGGCTCTCTGGAACAGTAGATTTGGTCATGATAGGAGGTAGATTACCTTTGTAGCAGTCTTGAAAAACTGGACTGAGAGTCTTGGATGGTGGGAAGGATCTTGTGCAGAGGCATAAGAAGAAAGGAGGCTTTCTGAAGATCAGTCCTGAGTTGGTGCACAGGATGGGTCAGAAAGATCGCTGAGGCAGAGAGCTAGCAAGCTGCCCTCACAAGGAACTGTAAGGGGTGTTTTGGCGATGACATGGGCTTTGGAATGCTCATTGTTTGGTTTGGAGTATCGACAGTCCCTCCATTTAATGTGAAATGCTTAGAAGAGGCAGTTTCCACAGCTAAACCTGTGGCAGCCGAAGAGACATCCCTAGCTCTCTTCTGGATGGAGAGTTCTAGATCAGTGCTGGACACAGGGTCTGGGTTAGCAGGCTGATAATAATAAAATAATGGAGCTGAGAGACTTGTCCGTAAATATCTCACTTTCTAGGTTTATGAAGTTGAAAATAAAGCTGAAAATGCTTATAGAATCTTCACTTAAGTTCTCCATGAGAGCAGTAAGTTGGCTGGATTCTCCTCTGAGTTCTTCCACAGAAATAAGCCAGGGCCCAACCTAAAAAGGAAGTTTGGTATCAGCTGTATCGAAGTGAATTTAAGGCTTTGTCCGTGACCTTTCACACCCTCCGAATGTTGAGAAACTGCCTGTAGATGAATTCAACTTTTAAAAATCCCTCTGTTTAATTAAATAACTATTTTAATGGAATTTTTTTTTCTTTTCACAACTGACCCGGACATTTGACTCCATGGGTCACAGCACTGACTAGTCCAAAACCCTTTAAAAGTCATACTAGTACTACTAATTATAACAACAGATAACATTTACTATGGGCCCAGCCTGTGCCAGTCACTATGAAGACCAAATGTGTGTCCGAGGGCCATAGCTTAGGGTCAGGCAAAAAACACAGGCCCTGCACACTGCTTCCTTACAAAAGTCTCCAAATTGCACATTTTTCCACAAATCCTCACAAAGCAAGCTTCTCTCGCTTTTCGACATGCCTCTCTATTTGCCTTTATTTGGAAGTGTCTAGGCTTTGGTGCTAATCCCTGTAAACTGATGATGATTGCATTGAAAAATTATTAGGATGGTAGAGCACAATGTGACACAATCTTTTGTAACCACGAGCCAAAAAAACAAAAAAGAGAGAGAGAGAAACAGCAAATTCTAGAACTGATCCTTTTCCTTTCAACTCTTTAGCTTCCACTGCAGAGAGGTCCATTCCAACTGCTCAGATGAAGCTGAAAAGAGCCCGACTCGCCGATGATCTCAACGAAAAAATTGCTCTACGACCAGGGCCGCTGGAACTGGTGGAAAAAAACATTCTTCCTGTGGATTCTGCTGTGAAAGAGGCCATAAAAGGTAGTTAGAACAAATGGCATGTCTGTCCTTGGTGCTCTTGAGATCTGAGGGCAGCCTGGAGCTCTGACATACTAGGACCTTTGGGGATGAGCGCCTCTCACCAGACAAGAGTCATACTATAGGTTGTTAGTCCACTTGATTCTCCACAGCCAGAGATTCTGGGCGTTTCTTGCAATCCCCATTCACGTACACTGCAAGGCCAAGTCAACACAGGCTAATTTTGCTCTAGTCAGGCAAGTTGAGAACCTGACTGGGTGTAATCCTTAAAACATCTTCCCCACAAGATGTCCATCACTTAGGAGTCATAGTCATGGTCCTCTTTAGCCTTCCTTATGTATGTATGTATGTATTTATGTATTTTGAGATGGAATTTTGCTCTTGTTGCCCAGGCTGGAGTGCAATGCCACAATCTTGGTTCACCACAACCTTCACCTCCCTGGTTCAAGCGATTCTTCTGCCTCAGCCTCCTGAGTAGCTGGGATTACAGGCATGCACCACCAAACCCAGCTAATTTTGTATTTTTAGTAGACAGGGTTTCTCTATGTTGGTTATGCTGGTCTCGAACTCCCAACCTCAGGTGATCCACCCGCCTCGCCCTCCCAAAGTGCTGAGATTACAAGGATGAGCCACCTCGCCCAACCAAAGTCTTCCTTGTTTAAAGAGAGGTGGACTGTAATAGCAGAAAGAGCACTGGCCCCAGACTAGAAAACTTAGATTCCAAGCCCAGGTACCCAAGTCACCTCACCTCGAGATGGAGGTGATAACATCCACTCTGCCCAGCTTACAGGCTCCTGGGAGTGAAGTTCATGATAAACAGTGCATGTAAGAGCTCAGAAAGCTCTCACTTGCTCCAACAAGTCAAAGGACAAATATTCAAAAAGGAGACACAAATATTGATTCTGTCATAAACTGTATAAAATCATTTTGTAGACTTTTTTGAACAATTGATATTAGGGGAACCCAAACAGCCTGCCAGTAGTGAATTCACTCATAGAGGTTTTGGGGTGGAACCCAGGAAAACTATGGTAACAGGGAGAAAGGGGAGATGAACTTTCCCACAGGCACACTTACTCTCTGCAGCTATGCCCACAATCCACTCTGAGGACTATTGGTAGATATTAATAAGCAGTGTATATTTCAATGTTTTGACACACTGTCAAAAAGTGTGTCTAAAGGCATTTTATCCAAAACTAAGTTTATTATAAAACTTGTCATCAAGTTTATTCACATCCTAAAATCTTGCTCTCACCCAGTGATTCAGAGGCCACATGAATTTTGCCTTTGGAACTCGCAAATATGAAAATATCAACTCCAGGAGAGGCAATATCCTCATCCATCAGTGCCCACTTAAATATCACACTGTGATTTTCTCTCTACTCTCTCTCCCTCTCCACTAAATATCCTGTGCCTTTGAACTTGGCCTTGAGTATTCAAGGGTTCACTGCCTCCATCTTTACTCTGATGAGCTCTTGGGCAGATAAAAATCTTCATTGGGCATCTTTTGTTTCTTAAAATATTCTGTTCCATGCATGTAAGTTTATTTATTTACTTTTCTTTTGTTGGGTGCATGTATATTTATGATTTACTTTTACATGATAGGCAAAAGATCTCTTTTTAATTTGCATTCTTTGGTTTCTAGTGAGATTATATTTTCCCTTGTGGTTATGCATCATTGGCAATATGTGGTTTTTCCTCTTCTTTCCTGCTGAGCGTGCTCTTCTTTACTGCTTTGTGTATGCTGTTTATATAGGAAAAACATGCCACTCCTCCATCTGTTACAGGATTCACATCCTTTTACCAACGTGTCCTTTACCTTTTAATTTTTTTGTATAGTGTAATTTACCTATAGCGGTTCCTAATTATTGCACAGTCAAATCCACTCATCTTTTTCATTATATTTTCTGAATTCATTTTTATTGAAAATATTTCCTAATTCAAAAATGTAGAGTTTATTCACTTAGATTGTCTTGTAATATCTGTATACTTTTATCTTTACATTTAAATCCTTAGTGAGTCTGAAACTATTTAAGTGCTTGGTTTAAGAGAGAGGTCTAACTTTATGCTTTCCACAGTTTTATGATCTATTTTACGGTTTCTGTTCATATCTGTCTTCCCAAGTTTCTTTCCATTTGTCTGATTTTTTCTAATGTTTCATGGCTACTCCTGCAAGTATATCTTAAGTGAAAATTAGCCTCAATTTTTTGTGTCAACTTCAATTCTATTGCAATTTTCTTTAGAATTGTAGTGAATTTACAGGTTAATTTGTGGTGAATTCATGTTTAAAATATATAAGTCTGTAAATTCTTCCATAGTATCTTTCTCCACTTATTCAAGTCTTTTTAAATTTCCCTTTGCAAAGTTTGTTGTTTTAAGTAAAGTCATATTTGTTATTGCTGATATATGGGAAACCTATTAATTTCACACATTTATTTTATAACTGGGCAGTATCAAAGGTCTTCTTAATGGTTCCAATAGTTTCTCAGTTTATCAGATGTTGTCTAGGTCCAAAGGAATAAAAGTTTGTTTTCTGCTTCATTTTTATGTTCTGCCTTGGTTCACTGGCTGGTACTTGAAAAGCAACAAGATGAGTAGCATGTTATACAATTAATATAATTTCTAAAAGTGTATGTAGTATATTAATAAAATAAATTACATATAATGTTTATGTATTTTATTTCTGAATATATTATATATAATTTATAAATTATATATTATAAAGTATAATATACTATATATTATACAAACCAAATAATATATATCTTATATAAAATATTTATATCATATAGATGTTTATCTTACATATAAAATTATGAATTATATAAAGCTTATTTAATAAATAATGTTATATAGTATAAATTATATAAAGTATATTGTACAATAAATATGTTACTATATAATTTAATAATTATTTGTATATTACATACCAGAATACTATTATTGTTGGTACCTTGCCTGTGCCTCAAAAGCAATATTATATTACATTTACTATATTATACGAATGTTGCCTTATGTTTTATGTTATGTGATAATGTGTTATATTGATGATTACATAAATTTTTGTTTTGTTTCTCTCTTAAATGGGATTTCTCTAGTCCTTCATATCCGTATATGATGTAGCCCTTGGTAAAGGAAAGATATTCTAAGGAAATATTTCTCTATTCCTGTCCCACTAAGAGTATTTTGCAAGATGGATGTTGAATTTTTTAAATGCTTTCAAAGCATATGAAAAGATGATGATGTGGCTTTTCTTCTTTGACCACGTAATGTGGTATTTTCACCTTTCCTAATCTTCCTTGAATTTCTAGGGGAAAAAAAATCTCTCATCAATTTGGTTTCAGAAATTGCTAGTATTTTATTTGGGATTGTGCATCTATTTTGTTATTAGTTGGGATAATGCTAGCTGGAAAACAAACTGCAAAACTTCAACAGCTTGGCGAGAAAGGTGTATTTCTTGCTTGGAAAGAGTTCAGAGAGGCATTTCCTCCATGAAAAGCCTCCTTCAGTCTTGCTGCGCCACCATTCCCTACAGCGAGGGTGGCACTTTTTCTTAAGGGAGCAGATAACACGTACTTGAGACTATCTCTGTCACTACTCAACTCTGATGTAGCAGGAAGGTTGCCATGGGCAGTAGGTAAACAAATAGGCATGACTATGTTCCAGTAAAACTTTATTTACAAAAACAGGCAGGCACACGGGCCTTAGATTGTCAATCTCTGCCCTAGAGCTTTGTCATCCTCTGACTGTACCCAGCAGAGGGGGAAGAAGGGATGAGAGGGTTCATCCACTTATTAAAAATTCTCAACCCGGAAATGAACACATCACTTGCACTCACATTCCAGTGTGAGAATAGAACATACAGCTGAGAAACGTATTCTCTGGCTAAACAGCCATTTCCAGCAGTGCCTCTATATTATGGAAGAGGGATCCTGGCTTTTGATAAGTAGCTAATCCTGTCTGCCACAATATTCATAAATGATGCTGGTCTATGACATTGTTGTTTTAGTTTTTCAGATTTAAATGTCAAAGCTGTAAACACTTCACAAAATAGTATAGAATTATCTATTCATATTTTTTCATGTCCTGGAAGCATTTAAATACGATCACAATGATTGGTTGCTTAAAAACATTGCTTATTAAAATCATAGGCAACCAAGGAAATTAAGAAACCAGCACCTTTCCCAGAAGTAGTTCTTTGAAAAGTTTTTTTCAATTTTGTCCATAATTATTTGTGCACTCAAATTTTCTCTTTAATTTGTACAACTTCCGAGATCATGCCATTGCACTCCAGCCTGGGTAATAAGATCGAAACTCCGTCTCAAAAAAATAATAATAATTTTGTAAAACTTACCTATTACTAAAAATTCTCACTCCTTCCTGAATTTTAAAGTTATTAGCCTCCACTAGTATATAGTATTGGCTCCCAATTGTTCTAAGTGTCTGTGAACCTGGGGGTAGACCTCAGTTTTTCATTCTAAATGCTGTGTATTTGTATATTCTCTCCCTTCCTCCCTCTCTTATTATTACACTAGTTAGAAATTTTTAATTGATTATCACGAAGAAACAACTCATGGTTTTATTCATAAATTTTGTTGGTTGCATATTCTCTAATTCAAGTTTGCTTTTTTTAATCAAGGCAGTTGAGGAGGAAAATCTCCACAAGGAGAATGAGGTTCAGGAATATTAATCTGGCTGCAGGTGCATGGGAAAGAAGGTAGAGGGAATGTTTTAAAATTATGGGCTAGGAGCAGTGACTCATGCCTGTAATTCCAGCACTTTGGGAGGCCAAGGCGGGCTGATCACTTGAGATCAGGAGTTCGAGACCAGCCTGGCCAACATGGTGAAATCCCCTCTCTACTAAAAATATGAAACAGCTGGGCATGGTGATGCACGCCTGTAGACCCAGCTGCTTAGAAGGTTGAGGCACAAGAATTGCTTGAACCCAGGAGGTGGAGCTTGCAGTGAGCTGAGATTGTGCCACTGCCCTCCAGCCTAGGTGACAG